CAGCAGGAGCCTACAGATGACCCTCAGCTGAAGTCCCTACGAGGATTTCAAAAGGTTCTGTACCTTTCCAAGCAATGACAGGGAGCAGCCCACAGTCGTCCCAAAAGAAGCAGGACGTATGAATCCTGTTCACAGCATCACATACTGTCATGGAAATAACCTAAATTGCAATTTACATAGGTCAGAGCAGAAACACTTTAGTGCTATGGCTATAGGAGAGGACAGGGAGCAGCAGAGTGACAGCCTCTGCTGATGTGAACTCTGCCCAGCTGGGGCAGCTACAGAGTTCCCATAACTTTTACAACCCATATTTCACCAAAACAGTGTCAGATAAGCAGCATATGGTACATAAGAACAGCAAATGAAATTCATCAGACAAGGAGGCTCTAGACAGTACATCCTTTTACAAATAGTTCACTCCTTTGTCAATTAAATTATTCTGACCAGTAAGACCATTAGCTACAAATGCTTCTTAACTACTGAGGTCTGCAAAAGCCGATGAGACATTAACTATTTTGCTTTCACATGCTCAACGTGAGCAAGTAATTGCAGTGCTTTTGATCACTTGCCTATGTAAATTTCATAATGCTCTTATGAACAAAAACGCTGACTTTTTTGCTATTTCAGAGCAACTCCAAAAGAAGTAAAGCACAGGCAAAGGTAAATGGAGAAATAAGAGAGCATCTTGGTTGGATTTTCAGCAGTCATTTGCTCATGACATGCACATAAATACATGCAGATTTTGTAAAAGTCCTGTAACTAATGATTTTTAATATGGGATCTGCTGGTGATCACAGAAATGCCAGCATGAGACCAGTGAAAATTGACCATTTGTCTCCTTCCATAACTTACTATGGTCCATGAGACCATCAGGAGCAGCAGGACATCTCCAGTGCAAGAAGCAGAAGAGAACACAGATAAATTAAATTGGACAGCTGTGCAATACAATTCTCTGTACATCTCAATCTCATTAACATTTTTAAGTTTACATTTTTTCTGTAAGACTTTACATTTCAGATTTTGGGGAATAACTTTAAAAAGAACATGTGATCAAACTGCAGCTTGAAATAGAAATCGATACTTACCTTTTAGAAACAGTTTTCCTACACAGTTGTTTCAACTGGGGATCCTGTCCTGTATTTGCATAGATGATATGCAATTCAGTTTGTCTAAGGAGGTATGCTGATCGTACATCTCTATGATTAGTTGTGTATTAAGCAAGCAAGGATTTGAAGACATCTGTGGAGGATCACATTCTAGCAGAATAAGTTGTTTTGAAATAATTTCATATTAAAGTTGCTAATTGCTATTCCAGAGTGAAAAAAATGACTGTATGTAATACACCTATATTAAAAATGCAGTGGTTAAAAATAGGCATGATAGGCTCTATAGGATCTGTAAACTTCTCTTGTGTGTATATATATATATATATGTGTATTTCTATAAAGCTACAATAAAAGAAAGTTGATACTCAGTTCTCCCTCACACTTTACTGTAAAGGTAAGTTTTTAAAAATGAAGTATTTAATTTTTAAAAAAAACAGTTTTCTTTCACTCTATGTGCAGTTTAAAAATTGTTTGTATTGAGATATTTGTATCGAGGGGCAACTAAGGAAGAACTGGTACACTGGAGAACGTCATTGGAAGGGATTGCTTACAGATGTATAACTGCAAGTAATTTTCTCTCCTTTCATGAGGGAAATGTCATCCCCTAAAGAGTAAAAAACTTGTAGGTCATGACAGTGAGACTTAAGTAGTGTGCTCAACAAATGGCCAAAACCAAACGCATAGCTGTTACCTGAGGATATGGTGGATCTCACTTTCAAATGCATTATGTATCATTTTGCTTCTGTCAGCATTTTAAATATTGGGATTTGTTTTTTTCTAAACATACTGAAATTCCTTTGTTGTTGGTAAATGTTGTCCTGATTCGCAGTCCCTAGGTTAATGTGTCACAAAACGCTTTCTCTTTTGTGATGCATATTAGGATCAACCAAGGTTTGTCTTGGCTTAATTAGCTAATAAAGTACAATTTTTAGAAAGCCCGTTTTGAATGAAGCAAAACTTTGCCCGATTTTTTCTTTTCTTTTCCTCCTGTAACTTGTGAACTTTGAAGCATGTGGTTCTCGTTCCAGGTGACGTCTGCTACTGTGTTGTAACACTTGGTAACCTTTGTTGTATTTAGTGTCAAGTTATGGTGCTCAAAAGAAATCAAAATGACCCTACTGACCCTCAGACATCTGTACTCTGTAATAACTGTAGAGCTGTATAAAAACTTGCCTTTATATTTGCTATAAGCTTAGCTCTTACATTAATACCTTTCTCTGTTCATATATCTGGTATTTTTCTCTGTTCTTCCCCTAGCGATGGACTTACAAAGAAGACTTGGAACTGAAATCAGGAGTAAGGGAGTTTGGAGTGGGTAACTGGGCTAAAATTTTGGTCCACGGTGACTTCAACAACCGAACTAGTGTCATGTTAAAAGACCGGTGGAGAACACTGTGCAGGATCGAACAAGGCTAATTTGGACTACAGGAATCAACTCTTCTTGACC